CGCGGACAGCTGAGACGGGAGACTGGGTGGGGGAATCGGTGTTTCTGGCCTGGTCCCAAAGCCAAGGCCCTCCAAGTCGCACGCGGACCTGGCTCCCTCGGACCACCAGGTGTCAGCTGCATGGCCCTGCCCACGCTTCCAGGTCAGTCTGAGCAAGAAGCAGTTCTTTGCTGTGTGTGACAGAACTGGGAGGGAGAATGCAAGAAACTCTTTGAAAAGGTAGCTCTTGGGAAGCTCTGGGCAGTTTGCGATGAATGAGCAGCTCATGTTTTCCTTTTGTGCTTTCTTGGGAGCTCTTGGATATTTTTAGTTTCTGTGGGTAGAGTATATTTTTAATTCTTTAAAAGATTGAGGGTTATCTTTGAAACATCTTCAGAGTGCGAGTTGGGGCTGGCGGACATTCCGTCTCCTCTCCCCGGGCTCGGTGACCTTGGTGGAGGCGTGAGCTGCCCTGGGGACTCCCTTCCTGCCCGGCCTGGCCTCCCCTGGCCCAGACCTGACACCTTCGCCTCACCCTTTCCACCTGCACTGGGTGAGAGGCTTGCCTGGTGACCTCACCTGAGGCTTGCCTCATGAGCCAGAGCCCCTCTTGGGGCAGAAGAACCTATTCTGCGTCTCGGAGCCTGGTGTACTCACCCGCCGCTGCCATGTTCCTCCTCCTGTTCGCCCACTTTTGGGTCTTCCGGAAGCCCTGTTCCCTTCCCTGCTAACTCTTCTGCCCTGCCCAGCTTTGTTGCTCATGTGTCAGGGATGAGAAAGTGTCCCTGTCCACTCCCTGGGACACTGGGTGCTGTTCCCAGGTCTTGTCTCGGTTGTGCTAGGCTCCTCTGCTCGATGGCTCCCTCTACAGAGCCAGGGAGAGGGGGGAGAAGCAGGGCTCCTCTAAGTGATTTGGAAAACAGCTCCCTGGTCAGTGGGCAAGCGCCCGTGTGTACGTGTGTGTGCGCGCGCGTGTGCGGTTTTCCTGAGCAGAGCTGATGGCAGACTGCAGCCACAGAGCGCCTCTGGATCTGGTAACCAGCACCACAGAGCTCAAGCAGCATCCTTTTTCTCCTACCCAGAGAACGCACAGCATCCCGAAGCCTGTGGTTCCAGGGGAGCCAGGCACAGAGGACATGGCTCTCGGAGGCTGCTCACGCCCCTAGAGCAGGGAAGGGACCTGGGCAGCGAGAGAGCACTGCCAGGAGGGCAGGGACTCAAGGCCTGACCTGGTCTCTGGGAAGTGAACCTGGTGGTGGAGGGCCCGCCCTGCAGAGGAAGGGAGGGGCAGGTGCGAGAAGCCCGCGCGGTGGTGTGTCCTGGGGCGGGGAGTCCTCCCTGCAGCCTGAGCATTCCTTGGATGGCTCTTTGACAGATGACGTCACGGGACACAGGGATAGTTTGGAGTGGACAGGGTCCCTACTGAAAGCTGTCGCCCCAAGTGTGGGACACTGGCATTTGAGGGCCAGGTGCGGGTCTGCTGTGCCCATGGCTGCCCCGAAGCACAGACCAGAGCACTAGCTGCCTGCCACGCGCCCTTTGAAAGCATTCTCTGAGGCCAGCGAGACAGCTCAGTGGGCTAAGCACCTGCTCAGGCAAGCGCAAGGACCTGGGTTTGATCTCTGGCACCACGTGCCATGTCAGCTCTGCCCCGGCCTCTAGGTGTGCTGAGCCGGCCACCAGGACCTGGTGTGGTGGCACCCACCTGTAATCCCAGTGCTGGGGAGGCTGAAAATAGTAGGATTACTACAAGTCTGAGCTGTGTAGTGAGACACTGTACCAAATACGGAAAGAAAGAAAGAAAGAAAGAAAGAAAGAAAGAAAGAAAGAAAGAAAGAAAGAAAATACCTCTGCCCGAGGTGTGGTCTGAGGGGCTTCTGTGGCCTACCATGCAGCCCTCAGGCAGCCCCTCTGACACCTCCTCTCTTGTCTTCAAGCGCGGATGGCAGGGTGAAAGGCATCCACCTTGGCCAGGGGCCCTGAGATGCCCCTTGGACCTCCCTCTCCCAGCATGCCTTAGAGCTCCCTGGGGTGTTCTGTTGCCAGCCAGCTTGGGGCACTACCTTAGGTTACCTGCATTTGGAATGGATGGAAGGCCCAGAGTTGGGCTTCAGATTCTGAGAGTGGTGACTGTTAAAAATTGTTTTTGCTCAAGAAAGAAATTGAGTGAATCTCTTCCACGGGACAGCAGAAGCAGCAGGGAGTGGGACAGAGCAGTGTGAGGAAAGAAGTCCCTCCCGTGGGGTTCTTGGACTGTGTAGTCCAGCCCCACCACTTCACTGCCCTTCCAGAGTGGTCCTGACTAAGACTCGGCCCATCTGGGGGAACCTCTGTTCTCCCTGGCATGTTTTCTGTCCCAGCAAGGCGGCCTCGGAAGCCCCAGCTCAGCTCCCAGGGCGCTCCTTTCCTTTCCGGCTGTGGGAGCCTGGCCTGGCTGCCCAGAGAAGATTGTATCTGACCGCCTCAGGAAGGGCTGAGGGCTTGCTGGCCAGGAGGGCCTGCTGAGGTTCTTGCTGTGGGCTACACCCGAGCAGCTGGGGTGCCCCTGCCCTGCCCGACACCCCCTCTTCACTCTTGCCTGTCCTTCCCACAGACGGGACTGGGCTGGAGCAGGGGGGCTGCCCCGGCCCCTGGCATGAGGGAGGTGAGGCAAGGGTGGAAGAGGAAGGGATGTAGGATGGCCAAGGCTGAGGAGCAGCAGGGTGCTGCCCCAGCAGGTGGAGGTCGGGGTCAGGAGAGGGCGAAGGAGCGGATCAGAGGGGCACCTTGATCCAGGCTGACCCAGTGCTGGGAAGCACCGCAGAGCAAGGAGAGGGGGCCGCCTCTCGTCCCAGCTGGGCTTAGTGAGACAGAAGGGAAGAGTAGCAGTGCACAGGCCCCGGCCCACGTCGGCACGGCCGAGGTGTGCTCTTGGGCTTCCTCATTCTGGCCTCCTGCTGGCCAGTGGGGTGGCTTCGTGCTGCTCCTGCCTCTGATGAGAGTTCTCTCCCTGGTCTTCCCGCTGGCCCCCAGCAGTCCAGTAGGTCCACCCTGCGGGACTCGCTGGGCTTCATGTTGCTGGTTTAGGAGGTGCACACAGGCCTAGATGTCGCCTGCAGGGCTGAGGTTAACCCCTCCTCAACTCCGGCCCGAGTCAGTTGAGGCCCTACTGTGCGCAGGACACACAGCTGAGACGCCGTACCTCGGTGAGGCGGGGAGAAGCGGAGGCCACGTGCTTGTGCTTCTGTCCCAGCTGACCGGAACCTTCAGGCAGCTCGGGGAAACAGGGCATACCAATAAGAGGAGAAAGGCAGTGGGATGTGCGCGGATGAGAGGAAGCTGGTTCCGAGCTCAGCCTTCCACTCGAGAATCGTTGACAAGCCACAGCCCGGGGCCAAGGCACCTTGCTCGGCATTTGAGGAGAGGCACAGAAATTTGTTCACTGACCTGTGCGGTGTGCCAGGTCCTAGTCCAGAGCTGGGGATTGTGAGCAGCAGACAGAACCGAGTCGTGGGCTGTGGAACCTTAAGTGGAGGTGGTGCTGTCCGCAGAACGCCTGCCTGCCACACAGCCACCAAGGGAAGTTCAGGTGGGACGGGGGCGCTGGGCTGCGTCTAGGAGGACGAGGCTCGCGCTGGCTTTGGAGCACTGGGGGCGGATGTGGAGATGTGTCATGTAAGAGTGAAGACCTCGGAGATGGAAGACACACGGGCTTCTGCGAGGGCGGAGCTTGCCAGCTGAGGTGGTCGTGTGTGTACCAATTAGCAGGCTGCAGGGACACCAGGCGACAGAGCGCCCAGGGCTCAGGCACCCCACAGGCACGCACAGGGCTCTGGGCAGCACCCTTCCTTCTGCGGTGGGAGGCTGCTCCCCCTGGCTGCTTGTGGCCAAAGCCGTTGGCCTCGGGGTGGGTGGGCCACCTTGGGTTTCCCTGAGCCCGTGTCAGCTGGGGAATCACCCCAGAAAGTTGGTGCCCCAGCTCTTGTGAGGACAGAGCCTTTCATGCAGCAGGAGTGTGTTGGTACTAACAGGGAGACTTAACCAGAATGAGGCTCGGACCCTTCGTGTGGCCTCGCAAACAGGGTAGGGAGCCTAGCCACATGTTGTCCCCTGCGGTCCACATCTGGTGCTCTAGGAGCCAGAATTGAAGGTGGGCGCCTCTTAGCGATACCAGCCTAAATCCCTTTTCCTTTGCCTGAGGAGAAACCGCTTCCACCGCTGGTGGACAGCCTTGGAGCGGCTCCTGCACCGTTGAGCCCAGCCCTCCTCCCTGGGGGTCTGCACCATGTGGTTGGGATTATGATCGGCAGTAGTGTTTCCAACTCCACAGAGGTGTTTTGCTCACCTGCCTTGCAGTGTCCCCCAGGCCCAGGCCCAGGGACAGCAGAGGCTGCTCCACAGTGGAGCTCGCTGTGCTGGCATGGACCCTGGTCTGGTGGCCAGCCACACATAGCCCGTGCACCTACGGCCTTGGTAGCGTGTTTCTGGTGTGGCAAGAGGACAGTGGCAAGGAGGCAGCTAGGCCTGGTGTCCTCACCCGATCCAGTGGGGCTAGCCCAGTGGGCATGAGTGAGCTGAGGACACGCCCCAGGACAGGCCCTGCGGGGCTCATGGTAGCCACCAAGGCTGGCTGTAGGTTCCAGGCCTTGCCTCTGAGGCCCTTCAGGCTGGAGGCTGACGTGTGGGCCTGTCTGTCCAGTCATCAGGAGGCAGCTGGGAAAATCCCCTCCTTCCAAGGGTGCAGAGGGTGAGAAGGAGGGGCAGCACCTGGGTCAAGCCATCCCGCGAGGCTGCCCTGTCTCGGGGAGGAGCGAGTTCCCGGAAGACGCTGTGCTCACGGGCAGTCAGTGGCTCTGATCGAGCTGTGCTGCTGGAGTGTACGTGCTCTGCACCTAGAGTGTCCACGTTGCTGGGCCTGTGCACAGGTAAGCGTCTGCTCTCTGGACCCTGCAGAGGCTGCAGTGAGATAGGGTGGTGAGGGGGCTTTGTTGCTGTCGAGTTGGTGACAAGTTCCTGACCTGCCCTCTGTGTCCCCAGGCTGCCCTGCACCTCAAGCAGACACGCCAGGCTCTCAGACCCAGCCCATGGACCTGCGGGTGGGCCAGCGGCCCTCGGTGGAGCCCCCTCCAGAGGCCCCACTGCTGGCCCTGCAGCATCCCCAGCGCCTGCACCGCCACCTCTTCCTAGCAGGCCTGCAGCAGCAGCAGCGCCCAGCAGAGCCCATGAGGGTAAGCACAGAGCCCCCAGCCTCCCTCCACCCCAGCCTCATCCCTCACTCTGCCCCTCACTTTGCCCCGCCTGAGCTGCGCCTGTCTGCCCACAGCTGTCCATGGACCCACCGATGCCCGAGCTGCAGGGCGGGCAGCAGGAGCAAGAGCTGCGGCAGCTTCTCAATAAGGACAAGAGCAAGCGAAGTAAGGACACCCTACCCACCCTGTGTCCACCCTGGGTGTCCACATCCTGCCCCTGGCCTGGAGAGCAAGGTGGGAGTGTGACCGCCCACCTCACGCCCTCTGCCTGTGACCCTGCAGGGCCCAGAGGCTTCACAGGTGGCACAGGCTGTGCCCTGAGGCTGTGCCGGGTAGGACACTGAGTCCTGGAGGTGGGGAGGGAGCGGCAGAACGTGCCTGAGGCCACCTGTCCATCTCCTTCCACCCCCATGGCCTCTGCCCCTGCAGGTGCCGTGGCCAGCAGTGTGGTCAAGCAGAAACTGGCTGAGGTGATCCTGAAGAAACAGCAGGCGGCCCTGGAGAGGACAGTGCACACCAACAGCCCCAGCATCCCCTACAGGTGCTTCCCTGTCCTCATCCCCACCTCCACGTCACTTGGTGCACGTGTACATGACTACCCCTCCCCCACCACCCTTCATAGGGACGCGATGTTCCCCAAGCTCCTCTCAGCTGGTGCCTGCTGTCCTCTTAATGCCTCACGCAGGGCCCTTCCTGCTCACGGGCACATGCACACACACAGCCCGTCCTGGCTTTCTGTACACACGAGTCCTCCTTCCTCGCCCCATGTCTTTCCCTAAGTACAGCAATAGCCTTGTTCCTACAGCAGGAGATACCTAGTCCCGAGGGCTGCCCACTGGAGCGCCCAGCTCCTGGCTGCCATGCCTAGATCAGAGCCCTGTGCTGTGGCCCGCTGCTGCCACCTGCAGACGGCCCCCTGTGCTGCTGGGTCTGCCGCCCTGGCAGGTCCTGGGCCTGCTAAGGAAGGTGCTGTGCCCAGTGCAGTCTCCAGCCTTAGGCTTGGCCCTCGGATCACCTTGTCACTTGCTCCACAGAGCTCTCGAGCCCCTGGACACGGAAGGAGCTGCCCGCTCCGTGCTCAGCAGCTTTCTGCCTCCTGTTCCCAGCCTGCCCAGTGACCCCCCCGAGCACTTCCCCCTGCGTAAGACAGGTGAGCTGGGCCCTCCTGGGGACCTAAGAAGGGGCCAGGAGCATGGGTCGGGAGGAAGGGCTAGAGGTGCTGTGCAGGCAATAGGAGGGAGCAGGGAGGAGCTAAAGGGTGGCACCAGCAGGGGCCTGAGCAACGCTGGGCTCCCACAGCCTCTGAGCCCAACCTGAAGCTGCGCTGCAAGCCCAAGAAGTCCCTGGAGCGGAGGAAGAACCCCCTGCTCAGGAAGGAGAGTGCCCCTTCCAGCCTCCGACGGCGACCTGCAGAGCCCCTGGGAGGTGAGGGTCGTGGGGTGGCCATCCTGCCCTCTGCTGCAGGGCTCCTGTGCCTTGGGCTCAGGCCCCAGCCAGGCAGGGTCCCCTCGGGGTGCCTCTGTGTCTGTCACACAGCAGGTGTCCCACATAGGTGCCAGGAGGGTGAGTGGGGAGGAAACCCAGGCCTGCTTAGCTGCTCAGCTGGTCTTTGCCAAGAAAGGGCGACATCTTTAATGTCAGCCTCACCGTGCTGCAGGCTAGTAGTGGCTGCTGGAGGAGTACAAGCCAAGCCGCTGGTGCGCCAGGCGGTACTACACGCCGCAGGCCCCGACCACCCTGCTTTCTCCTTCCCCCCAGACTCATCCCCCAGTAGTAGCAGCACACCCGCCTCAGGGTGCAGCTCCCCCAATGACAGCGAGCATGGCCCCAACCCCGTCCTGGGCTCCGAGGTAAGGCCGCAGGGCACAGTCTTGTAGGCACTTGTAAAGCTCAGCCTCTTTGCTAAGTGAAGGCGCAGCCAGCCCAGGGCTGCAACAGGCTGGACAGCCCGACAAGGGCTTTCTGAGTGTCCTGGGGTGGGTGTGCAGGGTTAGACGTCTGGGACCAGTGACCCCTTGCCCTGCTCCTCACGGCAGGCGCTCTTGGGCCAGCGGCTGCGGCTGCAGGAGACCTCTCTGGCCCCGTTCGCCCTGCCGACAGTGTCCTTGCTGCCCGCAATCACGCTGGGGCTGCCTGCCCCTGCCAGGGTGAGTGGCTGGGGCGCCCCTTCCTCAGCCTCTGTCACACCTTCACCCTGCTGCCTCTCCTGTCCCTTCCTGTTCCCTGCTGAAGCCTTCCCCCCTGTGACTTCCTCTTGCCTCTCCTACAGGCTGATGGAGACCGCAGGACCCACCCGACTCTGGGCCCTCGGGGCCCCATCCTGGGGACCCCCCATACCCCCCTCTTCCTGCCCCATAGCCTGGAGCCCGAGGCGGGGGGTGCCTTGACCTCTCGCCTGCAGCCCGTTCTCCTCCTGGACCCTGCGGTCTCTCGTGCCCCCCTGCTGACTGGTGAGCCCCAGGGCATCTCAGCCCCCTCCTATGCATCTCCTCGCAGCCCTCAGCCCTGCCTCCTTCCACGGCTCTCTCCTTACACGGCACCCCCTTATTTCCAGTGCCCGGTTTCGGGCCCCTGCCCTTCCACCTCGCCCAGTCCTTGCTGGGTAGTGAGCAGCTCTGTGCGTCCAGTCTCCACCGGCCGCTCAGCCGCACCCGCTCCGAGCCCCTGCCCCCCAGCGCCGCCAGCCCTGCACTGTTGGGCCCCCTGCAGCCCTGCCTGGAACAGCTGGAACCTCACTTCCCACTGGTCAAGGTGAGGGGCGCTGAGCATGGAGGTGCTGACAGAAGAGTGACTTGGGAGGGCGGGGTCCAGGGAGGCAGAAGAGAAGTGGCTGCCTGAGTCCTGGCAAGAAGGGTGGGCATCCACCCTTGCTCTGACAGGGCTTCTTAGCTGGCCGTCACCCCTCCCCAGAGAACAGCTAAGCCAAGTGAGAAGCCCCGGCTACAGCAGATACTTTCGGCTGAGGACCTGGAGGCAGATGGCGGCACCAGCCAGGTGGTGGACAGCAGTCTGGAGCATCGGCAGCTGGAGGCCAGGGTCCCTGTCCTGCAGCAGCACCAGCAGGTACCTCTGGGCGTCCTCAGGGATGCCCACAGCTCTGCAGTAGATGCAGGAGGGAGAAGAGGGTCAGTGCAGGGGCCAGGGGGGCCCCCACTGGTGCTTGGTGCACGCCCAGCCCCCTCTGCATGCACACGCGCTTGTGGGCTCAGTGTGGAGCTGTGTTTCTCGCCTAGCTGGCTGCACCATGCACCTTCCCGCCCTGTGCTGCTGCGGCTGCCACCTGTGACCCCTCCTCACATGTCTGGGAGTGGGGTTGAGACAGGCCCACGTGCCTCTACAGAGGCTCACACCCAGGGGACCCAGCCACGGGGCCCTACTGGGGGCTGCTGCAGGAAGCAGTACACACGGGTGCCCTGCCCAGCAGAACATATCACCTTGAAGTGCTGGAAACTGAAGTCTGAATCTGAATCAGGGGCTATAAGGGAGAGAGATGTTCAGGGCTCTCCGGCCTACAGTTAGCCGTGTTCTCCTGTGCCTGCCCAGGTCTTCCTCTGCCTGTCTCTGTGTTCACATCCCCTCTCTTTAGCAGTCCCCTAACCACCTCATCTTACTTTGATTGCCTCTGCAAAGACACTGTGTCCAAATAAGGCCACTTTGGAAGTACTGGGGGTTGACATCAGCTTGGTGGTGGGGGAGGACACTTGTCCCATCACCATGGTAACAGTCCAGAACAGGTCCCGTGTCCTTGAGGTACAGCCATCCTGGTTGGAGTGGCCCCAAGGGCCCAGGAGCCCTAAATGGTGGGCAATCTGGGTGTGGGTCTTCCAGAGGGCTGCTGGGGGCTCACAGTCATAGCCACAACCAGATGGGAAGCAGGGCTTGGTGCCTCCTGGGCTTTCTGGGAAGACCAACGTCTAGGCAAGAGCTGATGGAGCAAATGTGGGGAGACTGAGGACCCTGTTTCCGTTTCCATTTCCCTCAGGTGTTGCTCCGGGAGCAGCAGCGTCTGGCTGGGCGGCCGCCCCGGGCAGGCTCTGGGGACCCTGTGCTGCTTCCCCTGGCCCAGGGTGGACACCGGCTCCTATCCAGGACCCAGTCCTCCCCCGCTGCGCCTGCCTCACTGCCAGCCCCTGAGCCTGCAGGCCAGCCCCGGGTCCTCTCCAGCTCTGAAGCCCCCACCAAGACCCTGCCCTTCATCACAGGTGAGAGCAGTCTCGGGGCGACTGAGGGAGCGGGCTTGGGCACGTGAGTCTGTCTCTCTCCATGGCAGTGCCAGGGTCTTCGCAGAGGACTTGTTAGAGGTCCACCGTGCAGGGTCCCGTCGTGGCCCGTGATGCTGGGGCGGGGTGGTTACTGTCCTACAGGCTGGGCCAGCAAGACTTCTCCGGGCCTAAGGTGCAAGCCTGTAGTCACACAGTAAGCGGCAGTCAGGCCAGGGCGAGCGGTGTGGGTTTCTTGCCACCACGTCTATCCCCCGTTAAGTCCCACTGTCCTCCACCCCAGTGTGTTCTGGCCATAGACACCGTACAGGTAGCACAAGCGTGTGAGCCATGTTGTTCCCTGCTGTGTTTGGTTGGCATTTCAGGAGCATTTTTTGGTATGATTAATCTTGAAAACAGACCCTTCTATCCCACTGCTGTATTTTACTCCTGGTTCACGGTGGCCGAACACCAGCCTTTACTCATGCCCGGGATCATTTTCTGAGGCTCTCGCTTGAGCAGTGGCCCTCCTGGGTCAGGCGCATGAGCACCTTGTTGGTGTCCTGAGGTGTGCAGATGCCCTTCTCCCCATGGGCATGTGCGTGGCCAGTCCCTAGAGGCAGCCGGGGGCACCTGGAGGTGTCCCTTGTACCTGCAGATGGCGCATGCCAGCACCCAACCCCGCTACCTCACCCTTGGATGCTCAGGTCTCCTATGTAAATTGTAGAATTTGCCTGTGACCTGCACACATGCTAGGTGTGCGCTTCCCCCCGAGCTACACCCCCAGCTCCTACCACATACTTTAAATCGTCTCATACCTGATGTGACATAAATGCTACATACCTGGTTATTGCAATGTACCTTTTAGGGACAAGGGGGGGAAAGTCTGTACATTCAGTTCCAGTGAATCTTTTCTGCAGAGTATTTTCAACTTAGAGTTCGGAGAGACAGCTGCAGGCTCTCTCTGTAGCTCTGTTGCCTTATACCTGGCCTGGGTCACTGTGGGCCCCCCCCCCCCCGGCCCAAGACTTGGGGTTCCCTAAGAAGTATGACTCCGCCCACTTACACTCGGGTATCAGGCTCGTGATGCCCGAGAGTGCGGCTGGTGTTGCGCCTCGAGAGAATACCAGGCTGGTCTCTGGAGGGGGCAGAGTGGGGCATGGGCCCTGGGGGCAAGGCCACATGCCCTCTTGGCCCTGGAAGGGTCCACAAGGTGGAGACTCCGGGGTTCCCTGGGGCCCCGCCTTACCCTGCGCCCGGCAGGGCTGGTCTATGACTCCGTCATGCTCAAGCACCAGTGCTCCTGTGGAGACAACAGCCGGCACCCGGAGCACGCCGGCCGCATTCAGAGCATCTGGTCCCGGCTGCAGGAGCGTGGCCTCCGCAGCCAGTGTGAGGTGAGCACCACGGGAAGGGGAGGCTGGAACCGCGGCCGGCGGGGCGGTGGGCGGCCGCGGCGGGCAGGGGCTTAGGAGCTCTCGGGCGCCTGCTTCTGCAGTGTCTCCGCGGCCGGAAGGCCTCCCTGGAGGAGCTGCAGTCTGTGCACTCCGAGCGGCACATGCTCCTCTATGGCACCAACCCCCTCAGCCGCCTCAAACTGGACAACGAGAAGCTCTCAGGTAGGCCTGGGGGCTCCCTTGGCTCCGCAGTCCCGCCTGCTGGCCCCGCCCTCCCTGCACTGTTCTGCCCCCACCGCACTTGCGCTGCCCCTGCTGGGCCGGAAGCAGAGGGCAGCCACACTCACGGAGGCTGGGCCTCTCCCCGCAGAGCTCCTGGCACAGCGGATGTTTGTGATGCTGCCCTGTGGTGGTGTCGGGGTAAGTGCCGAGGGTCCCTGGTGGGCGTGGCGAGAGCTCGTGCTCCTCCTCTCTGTCCTCCCAGGCCCAGCCCCCACCGCCCGTCCTAACGGTCGCCAGGCACTTCCTGCCAGGCCCTCTGCCGGTCCTGCACACAGGTGTATGGGGCCCATTAGTGTCCCAGAGTGGGGAGCCCTGGCCTTGTGCTTCTGAGGTGCTTGGTAGAAGCTCAGTGAAGCTCAAAGAGCAGGGCCAGGACTGGATCTTGGGACTGTGTCCTTCATAGGCCCGAAGGTTGAGCCGTGGCTGGTCCCTGCTGGCCCTCGGCTGCTTTGCCTGGCGTGGACCCGGTTCCCAGACCCTGGGCTGCCGGTCCTGATTCCGAGGCGTGCATCCTGCGTCCTGGGAGGCCCTGGCCTCCCAGCCAGCTTCCTCTCGCCACTGCACCCTCTGGCACAGCTCCCCTGCCTAAGGCGGGCGGTCCCTCAGGGCATGAGCAGGATGTGTGGAAGAGGAAGAGGGGCATGGAGGCCGAGCGCAGCGCGAGTGGGGGCTCTAGCAGGGGCTGCTCGGGAGCCAGTCAGCGCCCTGTTCACAACTCCCATTTCTTGCCACTTTCTGGTTTTTCCAACTGTTGTTGCTTCTGTTTTCTCCTCCCTCCTCTCCCTCTCTGTCCTCTCTCTCTCTCTCCAGCCTCTTGCGACTCTCTCTGCCTTCCTCGCCTCTCTTGGTCCGCCTCGCCCTTCCCATCTCCCCATCATGCCCCCCGGCCCCTCCCTAGCCTTGAGGCCCAGGGACTGGGTTTGGGGGGCCTCCCAGCCTGGGCTAGGGGCCCCGAGTGGAAGACAGTGGTGCAGACGGCCCCTCCAGCTCCGACCGTCCCGCAGGGCCTGAGCAGACTCAGCTGGGGCTTAAAACCCCCTCCAGGCCCAAACCCCAATCCCGCCCAGGTAACGCCATGCCCCTCCCGAGGGGGAGGCAGGTGTGATGCTGCCGTGCAGATGGGCTGTGCTGGGACTGACACTGGGAAGGAGCAGTCCCGTGGGGCTCGGGGGACCGGAGGCCTTGCCTTTGGGCGGTGGGGCACTGGGGAGGCAGCTCTGTCTGCCCAGCTCCCTGCCCCTGGGTCCTGGCCGTGGAGTGGGTCCTGCCTGCTGGGTGCTGGCTCCTGCAGGAAGCCTTGGATGATGCGGGCTCTGGCTCTGGTCCCCACAGGTGGACACCGACACCATCTGGAATGAGCTGCATTCTTCCAATGCCGCTCGTTGGGCTGCAGGTAGCGTCACTGACCTCGCCTTCAAAGTAGCGTCCAGAGAGCTCAAGGTAGGGGGTTGGAGCGGAGACCAGCCGAATGCAGAGGCCACACAGGCAGGGTGGTGGGGCTAAGGACCTGAGTGCCAGCCCTGTCTGTCCTCTCAGACACTGCTACAGGGTTTGGGATGCTCTGGGACCAGGGTAAGATTGGAGTCCCGGGAAGCTCAGCTGCTGTGCCCCAGGACTTGTCCTCCTAGAGGCACTGGGTCCCAAGCAGCCAGATCATTTAAGACCTGGGGCTGTGGGCTGGCAAGATAGCTCAGTGGACTGAGTACTTGCTTAAGCAAGTGCAGGGCCAGGCTTTGAATCCTGGCACCACATGCCGCCAGCCCTGCCCCCCAGGCACGCTGAGTAGACGATGGAGTCCAGGCATGGTGGCATAGGCCTGTGATCCCAGCACTAGGGAGGCTGTAAACAGGAGCATCACTACGAGTCCGAGCTGCGTAATGAGACCCTGCACACACACAAGCAACAACGAAAAGACCTGGGGCTGGGGCAGTCTGCTGTTCTCTAAGCCTCATGCGTCCCCTGGCAGCTCTTCCCAGTGCTCAGGCACTGTGGAGAGGGTTAGTGCCGGCTGCGTGCCCTGGCCCAGGTCCCTGACGGGGGCTTGTCCTCAGGTCACACACTGTCTGGGGCTGGTCCCCAGGGGGTCCTCAGTGGCAGAACTTCTTGGCAGAGCTTTATAATTAAGGGCACAGCCCCAGCTTTTGGGGTGGGCATTTGGGGTCAAGCTGCTGAGTCACCTAAACTTTGGCTTTCTCCTCGTCCTCTGTAAACGAGATGCGAGTAGTGCTTGTCCGAGGAGATGCTGTGAGGACGGTGTCCTGCACTTACAGAGTGCTTGGCGCAGGCCTGGCGTGCAGATCTCAGTAACTCACCACCGAGTGAGGGTAGCTAGGACACGCCAGAGGGAGGCTCTGTGTCCAGGTCCAGCCTACAAGCAGTGAAGGCCCAGCCTGCAAGCCGGAGGCTGGACACATTCAGACAGGCCCTGCCCTGCAGCCCTTCTCGGGAGGGGCCTGGAGCTAGAGGCAGGCTCACGCAGACGGGATGGCTCAGGAGCTGACTGTGAAGGTCCCAAGCGCTGCTTTGCTTTCCAGAACGGCTTTGCTGTGGTGCGGCCCCCAGGACACCATGCAGACCATTCCACAGCCATGTAAGGCCTGGAGGCATCCCGGGGGGAAGGTGGGGACCGGCCCTCAGGGCCCGCTGCAGCCTGGACTGAGCCAGGGGCTGGGCGCAGAGGTGGTTGGAGTCCCGGAGGTATGTGTAGGGGACGGGCTGGCAGCACCCCTCTCTTTCCCCCAGGGGCTTCTGCTTCTTCAACTCGGTGGCCATCGCCTGCCGGCAGCTGCAGCAGCAAGGCAAAGCCAGCAAGATCCTCATCGTAGACTGGGTGGGTCCGGCTTCCCAGCGCCCGCAGGCCTGTGCACGGCTGTGTTCTGCCTTCTCTCTCCAAGCCTAGGTTTCCCCTTGTGCAAAATGTGGCTGAGGTTGGGCAGCCCACAGGAGGTGATGTGGGGCGGGCTGCCCTTCCAGGCTGTCCCGCAGCGCGAGGCGCTTTCGCCCTGAGTGCTGTCTTTTGACTTTGGTTGATAATCTTGGCCTTCCCTACATGTAGATGCTCAGGCCAGGCAGTCACTTATGGGGGAACAATTCCACCACATGGCTCTAGGAGCCATGATTTCTGGCCTCCCGCGTAAGATCCTGAGCTTCAGAATTGTCACTGACCTTGAAGCCCTTCCAACACATCCTGGCTTCCGTCTCTGCTTTTGAACCTGTCCTGATTCCCCGCCTCCTCCCCTGCGCAGGATGTTCACCATGGCAACGGCACCCAGCAGACCTTCTACCAGGACCCCAGCGTGCTCTACATCTCCCTGCATCGCCATGACGACGGCAACTTCTTCCCTGGCAGTGGGGCTGTGGACGAGGTGAGCACTCTGGGTCCACATTGTCCAGCCTGGCGACTCCTGCGCTCACTCTGCTCTGTCCCAGGCTGCGCATCCTGGGCAGAGGGCTTGGGTCTCCCGTGCCATCTCCCTCAAAGTGGAGTGGAGATGGGATGAGCTGGTCTTGCCGCGCTGGCGCCTGGGGCTAGGGCTCGGCAGTCCTCATGTCTCCCTGGCACCTGCTTTTCTAGGTCGGAGCTGGCAGCGGTGAAGGGTTCAACATCAACGTGGCCTGGGCTGGAGGCCTGGATCCTCCCATGGGGGATCCCGAGTACCTGGCTGCATTCAGGTGAGTTCCCAGCCCTGGCCTGGCCCCTTCCCTGAAGCACCAGGCTGGAGGTGACCTGAGGGCTTGCCAGCCTGATCTCACCCAGTTACTAGATGTGGTAGCCAGGACCGCTGCTAAAGTCATGTAGGATGAACAGCCAGTGTCACAGTATGCTGGGCAGCAGTGGGGTGAGCCAGCAGGATGCCACATTAACCACAAGAAGCTTCCCAGAGCACGGAGGAGAACCTGGGGAGATAGCTCAGTGGCATAAGTGCCTGCCTGGCAAGCACAGAGTCCCCAGTTTGATCCCCAGTACTGCAAAAACAAAAAATACACTCCAGCTGTTCTCGAGTGGTGTCCATATTGGGAAGGGTCACTCAGAAAAGGCTTCAGGTCTCCGTAAGAGCCCTTTCCCCCTTCACTCTGGTCCTCGCACTGCATTGGCAGAGGGAGCCCAGAAGCCAGTCTGGAAACCCTTTTCTGGAGATACTCTCCACGAGAACTAATTCTGCAGGACCCTGGACGAGTGTTCCGGCAGCTGTGTCCAGAACCCAGGGCTTTGGGGGGCACCAAAGCAGACCCCAGAGCCAGGTCAAGGCTAGTGAAAGGTAGCTGCTGGGTACCTGTGGAGGGAGAGGCTGAGCACGGGGTCTAGGGGGCCGTCGGCTCTTTGGTGGCAAACATTGAGGTAAGCCATGCATTTCCGGTTCCCATGGCTTCGTAGCTAGAGACTAGCTCAGCTGGCTGGCAGATTGCCCCCTGACCATGCTGGCTCGCCCCCTCACACTCACTCGCACGCACGTGTGCGCACACACACACACACACACACACACACTCACTCATGCTCCTCTTCAGCCCCTCCCATGGCCCACCCTTGGCACCTGGCTGCCTCTTGCTGGCTCAGTACTTGGGTGGCAGAGCCCTCAGGCTGTGTGAACCAAGGTGGCCCACCACGGTGGAGGAAGCCAGAGAGCACCGCAGACCCTCAGGCTTGGAGTCCTGGGAGCAGGTGCCCTCAGGAAGGCTGGCAGGAGCTGGGCGGCACAGGTCGGCGCCCGGGCTCTGCCCAGCGGCTCTGCCCATGCACTGGCCCAGTGTGGTGACACCTCCCTTCGTGCAACCCTCAGGACAGTGGTGATGCCCGTCGCCCAGGAGTTCTCGCCCGACCTGGTCCTGGTGTCCGCCGGGTTTGATGCTGCTGAGGGACACCCAGCCCCACTGGGTGGCTACCGCGTTTCTGCCAAGTGTAAGGGGCCTGCAGAGGGAGGGTGTGCAGACGGGAGCCAGACTGGGGGGCATGGGTGGTGCTGCCTGCATCTGATGATGGGCAGGGCTCCGTGCGGACTGCAGTACTCAGGGTGACCAGCCCCGGAAGCCCTGGGGCACAGACCAGCACACCCAGGCTGAGGTCTGCTCAGCGCCCACGCTGCGCCACACAGATGTGACCCAGTCGGGGCCCTGGAAACCCAGCCGAGTGGTTTCTGGGCTGGACAGGCCACTCCAGCTGGGGGGTGGGGCCGCGCTCTGGACAGTCGGGGCTGGGCAGGCACAAAGGAGCCGGGCCCTGGGCGTGAGGCACAGACCAGGACTTGGGCCCTGACTGCTCTGCGCTTCGAGTGAGGACACTGGGTTGGCGCATGATTCCATGTGACAGCACATGGCTCTGCCTCATGTTGATAAAGGAGGAAGCAAGCGGGGCCACCGCAGAGCCAGGGACGGGTCCAGCTTGCCCTGCCCCTGCACACTTCCATTTCTCTACCCACCCCTGCAGGTTTTGGGTACATGACGCAGCAGCTAATGAGCTTGGCAGGTGGTGCCGTGGTGCTGGCCTTGGAGGGTGGCCATGACCTCACTGCTATCTGCGACGCCTCCGAGGCCTGTGTGGCTGCTCTTCTGGGCAGCAAGGTAAGTTGCTTGCACCTGCTGCTCTGGCTTCTGTGCGCTGGGAGGCAGGCTGTCCCAGGACTGTCCTGGGAGTGAGCTGGGAGATGGGATGGGGTGGCAGTGGCGTGGTCCGTGGGTCTGTGGCCAGTGTGCCTGCGCTATACCTACCTCCCAGCCAGCAGCACACAGCTGTTTGTATTCAGAAGGCCAAGGTCCTTGCAGGGCCCAGAGTGGGGCTGTGGTCCCAAAGGCGGGGTGACTGAGGGACTGATCTTGTAGGTGGATCCCCTGTCGGAGGACACCTGGAAAAGGAAGCCCAACCTCAATGCCATCCGCTCCCTGGAGGCTGTGATCCGGGTGCACAGTGAGTGCGGGTGGGCTGCTCTGGGGCCTCAGGGTCCACCACCCGTGGTTGGTTCCAGGGATGCCCGCGTCAGCCACGCGAGAGGCGCTGCTCCAGGTCGGGATAGGGCTCCCGCAGCTTGGCCACCTACAGCCCTGGACTGGGACCAGGCCAGCAAGAGAGCCAGCCAGGTTGCTGTTCTGGCCTTCACTCCTGGCCTTGGGGCTCTCGGGAGCTCTGTGTGCTCAGGGGCCGGGTCTGAGAGTAACCCCCACATTGGCAGCATCTTAGCTTCAACCTCAGCATGATGTCTACTGAACAGGCTCCAGGGCTGCAGGAGGGGATGAAGGGATCCCCCATACCAAGAGCTTAGTTGGGGAGGGAACACAGCCTTGTGGACACCAGGCCCTCGGGGAGCCCTGCTGCAGGCGGGGATCTGTGCTGGGATGCTCCTTGTGGGCAGCCAGTAGGGTGAGCTCTAGTGATCCTGACAGCTGTGTGGGGTGGCTGCAACCAGGCTGGGCCCAGGGCTACACTCCTGTTGCCGGCACGTGCCCCTTTCCTACTGGGGGCTGCTGAGGTGGACCACCCAGGCACAGCGGGCCCTGCTGGCAGTCTCAGGACGCCAGCACACGTTGGAAATGGCCTCAGCAGGGCTTGGGCCAGGCTCAGGCAGCCACAGACACCCTGCAGTGCGCTGCCCTGCTCCGCTCTCCCTCAGGGCTGTGGGACCAGAGCTGTTGCATCGAGGGCGAGGGCAGGGGTGGGAGGGAAACTCACCTCAGGCTGGGGACATGCACCCTCCTTGTTCTGGGTGAGAGGGACCGGCTCGTCCCCCAACCTTCCTCATCCAGCTCCCTGCTCCAGGTAAATACTGGGGCTGCATGCAGCGCCTGGCCTCCTCGCCGAACATCTGGGTGCCCAGCGTGCCTGGGGCTGATGCAGAAGTCGAGGCTGTGACTGCACTGGCATCCCTCTCTGTGGGCATCCTGGCTGAGGACAGGTAACACTGGGCCCCGACCTGCCCTGGCCTCTCCGCCCCTTCATCCTCCCACCTGAAGCAGCCTCGGAGCCCCGAGGCCACCCTGAACCACTCTCGCTTGGCAGCAGGGCTGCGGGGCTGCTCCACCAAAGCCTGCCTGCAGCGCTCACCTGTCCTGCCCCCAGGCCCTCAGAGCAGCTGGTGGAAGAGGAGGAGCCCATGAATCTCTGAGCCTTGACTCGGATCAGCTGCCGCCTGGCCCCTCTGAGGCTGTACCACCGGCCCCATCCCAGGTCTCCAGAGATTTTGGGCAGGTAGTGTGGCGCCAGAGAACAGCCAGCCTTAACCATCGTCCCACCAGGGAGCATGAAAAGGACCCCAGGTGTAAGATAGGGACCAGAGGGGACCCTGAGGAGGCACTAGGTGCCAGCCCCAGCAGGGCTTACCTGAGAACAGGGGCCCCTGGGTGTGGGCCCGGCCTCCGTCAGGACCGCACAAGGAGGACTGGCTGGGTGGGCCCAGCCTTAACCACTATCCTCGGCTCTGCAGACCCCCGACTTTGCACACAGGCTCCACGCAGAAATGTGAACTTGGCCCAGCCAGGGCGGCCCCTCCCAGGTTCTGCAGGGTGGCTTGGAGGAAAGGGGTTCCCTATTCTGAGCACGGGGGAATCACGGCCCCCAGTGCCCTGGAAGCTTCCTCACCATGGGCACCAGGAGCCTAAGACATTCCTGGAGCGGGCACCACGGACCTCCCACCCAGCTGCTGCCCCCACCGGAGACCACTGTGTCTGCCACCTTGGTCCCCAGTGGCACGGACAGGCGCTTTTACAGCCCTGTGCGTTCCAGTCCAGCGGCGGCAAGGCCTCATCTCCCCTCAGCAGCTCAGCGGGACCCACGGCTCCCTTGTTGCTGCTCCCACAGCCTCCCGTTTTCTGGGGTCTCCGCCACCCCTGCACTGTCTCACGCCCCACACAAGACTCGCACAGCTGTGGGGAAGAGGGTGGGAGAGTAGACGGACATGGGAGGGGAGCCTGCCCTAGCCATGTTTCTGAGGCTTTTGGGGTCCCTGCCTGGGGCCAAGAAGGAAAGTATTTGTGCGTGCCTGTGAGTGTGAGTGAGCATGTGAAAGTGTGTGAGTGTCTTCCCCAGGACCCAGCATTCCCATGTACGTATGCATGTTTTTGTAAAAAAGAAAAAAAAAAAAAAAAAAAAAAAAAAACGGAAAAAAATCTGAACAATAAATGTTTTATTTGCTTTAATGTCCTGTAAGCGTTAAGTGCCATTGGAGGGCATCCACGCACGGCCGGCCAGGCCCCTCCAGCTCGGCCCTGCAGAGGGCTGCCACTCTGAACTCAATGTTGCTGCCCCACCCTGCGCTGCCCACCCCATCAACAGAGGGCCCTCCCAGGGACACGGGAGCCAGTGCCCAGTGGGCTCACCTGGGCCTGTGCCCAGCTGTGACCGCGTCTGGGGCCACTGTTTAATCAGTAAAAGGTGCTCAGGTTAGACATGTCTGATTCCTTCTTCCAGAGTGGGAGTGCTAAGCAGAGCAGCAAGAGCTGGGGTTGCCAGAGGGGGTCCTCCTGCCCTGCCTTTCCAAGGCCCCAGCCTGGGAGGCACAGTAAACTGCAAGGGTTGCTGAGGCTGCCTGGGGGTCAGGGAGGGCCCAGCTGCTGGGCTGTCCTGGGCCCAGAGGACCCGAGAAGGACTGAGCAGCAGAACCTGCCATGCCCCTCCCCAGGACACAGTTGGGGGAAAGAGTTCTTAGCCAGAGACCCCCAGCCACCCCTCCTCACCATCGCTCCCACAGCACCCTGGTTCTGCTCTATGCCTTCCCATGAGAAACCCATCAGGGGCCTGTCTGGTATGAATGACTGACAGCTACACAGATGAGGCAGAGACCCTGGGGCAGGATGCGTAAGTGGGAAAGGAATACATGTACACAGTGGCAAGTTCACTTGAAGGACATGGGCACTTGGAGCCCTCCGCCTCACACAGGTCCCTCTGAGGGCATCGGAGGGCAGCTGGCCAGAAGGCAGTGAGTGGGCTGGGGCGCCAGGTGCTGGGCAGTGAGGAGGCATGGGGCTGGTGTAGATGTGAGACAGGACTGGGGTGGCAGAGCCCCAGGGAGACCAGCTCTGTAGGAAGGGGCAGGGCTCTGGGGAATGTCACCCCTCAGACTGATGGCTTAGCCACCTGAGCCCCTCAGAAGCAGAGGCGACGGGCTGGGGTCCTGGGGTCTCTACATTGTCCATGTGGCCTGTGCTCCCTCTGCCTCAGCCAGAGAGCAAGCCACCTGTTCCTGCATGGGTCATGGCCTCACCACCCCGCCCAAGGCCCCGACGTTGTCATCTGGGCCCCAGTTACACTGATTCTCCAACCCATACTAAGAAAATAGAATCACTTGGAAAGGCCTGAAGCTGCCCTGCAGCCAGCCCGATGGGCAACATGGAAGCCCTCCCCCAAAGGGGACCAAAGGGCTTCCTGGAAAGCCACGCCAATCTGCCGATCCTGATCCTGCTGTGTGTCTCTGCCCCAGTTCTGGGTCCCCAGGAGCTGGAGCAGGCCTGCCCCAGGCCTCAGAGGCTGCGCTGTGTTCAGGTCCGGAGGCCCCAGGCTGCAGTGACCTCGTCCCCAGGTCAGAAGTCACTCAGAATGCTGATGTCGGCAAAGTCGGCCCGGTAGCGGTGTGCATAGAGGCCAAGCAGGAAGGCCCACTTGAAGGAAAGGAAGCTCCAGATACAGGACAGGTAGTAGCTGGTAGGGTCTGTGAAGCCTGCAGGGAAGTGGAACCCAGAGTGACTCACAGGCCATGCCCCAACATCACCCGCCCATGGAAGACCCGCAGGGCTAGGGGTCAGGGCACTCTGGGGCGTGCGGGCAGGAGTGTGTGTGGGCCTGGCCTTCTGCGGGCCGCTGCAGGTGCATGTGGTCCACGGCTCAGCTCTAGAGAACTTGCTTTTCAGCATCAACTGCCTGGGGCAGAGGAAAGGGCCTTGGGCTCCTCCCATCACAGCCACCAGGGGGCACCCCCTTCCAGAGCTGGGCAGAGCCTGGAAGGTCTGCCCAACTGGGGCAGCTTGTACATGCATGCTCTGTGCCCAACACAACACACTAACGCCAATGACTCCTGTCCCAAGCAGCTGGGACTGTCATTCCTCCCACTCCAACTGAAGCAAGCCCAGGGACGGGCAAGTTTGGTGAGCTGCCCATCTCTGGGACTGGAGCCGAGGCCAGGACCAGACTGCGGGCTCTTACCCCTCCCCACCCCCCACTGTCCCAAGACGGCCCTCACTCTGGTGCTGTGTGATGGCCAACGTGAGGAAGGTGCAGAAGGCAGCCACGGACACGGCCGAGAAGAGCACACCCACGAAGAAGAAGCCGCGCAGCCCCTTGAGCCAGGTCCTCCAGTAGTCCTGCATGTACATCATGTGCGTCACCAGGACCCACAGTGCCAGCACACCTGAGGAGAAGATCTGTCAGCAGGACGCAGGCAGCCACCTGCCACGCCACAGCTCCCTGCTCCCCTGGCCTCCTCCGGGACCCTGCGCCACACTGAGAAGGCGAGCCTTTGTCGCTCCTGACTGGAGCTTTCCAGGGAGTGTGAAGTCACGACTTGACGCAAATCCCCAATTCCAGGCCTCCCCTGCCTCAGGGTTGCAGGCCCCCACCTTCAGCTCTGGGACAGCAGGGCCCTCCCAGGTCCTCTGCAGCCGTCTTGCAGAGTCCAGCCGCCATGATGCCCAAGACCGTGCTGCACGCTCGGCATGGCTTCCTCCCATGGCGTCCCCACAGCAAGGGCAGGCCCTGGAGCTCTCTCTGCACCCGGCCAGGCACTGCCTAGGGTGGCAGCTGCTACTCAGCCCACACAATAGCACGCGAAACAATGCTCCGTGCCAGGCAGTGCCTGCTGCGGAGGCTCAAAAATAGCACAAATAGCAGTTCCACTGGCCACAGTCTGGGGCAGGGCCACGGGCTCTCAGCAAGGGTGGAGTGAGCGAAGAGACGGCCAGCGGCACTCCTGCCAGGCCCTGGGTGCGAGCCCCCAGCTGCCACAGCCAAGTGGCAGGACAGCTCCCACAAGGCAGCTGCACAGACCAGTGTGCAGGGCCTCCTCCCGAAGGCACACAGGCAAGACATGCATCTGTTAGGGGAGAGAGGAGCCACTGGGCACGGCAGAGAGAGCTTCGTGGATCTAAGCCACTTCACTTCTTAGGCTGGGCAGCGAGTGCAAGAGCACTCATTAAATTGTGTATTGCGTTTTATTTACATGCCTGAACATGTTTTAGTTACATGTTGCAACTTTTTAAAGTCAGGGAGAAACAGGGTGGGGGGAAATAGTCAGGATGCAGCTCTGCTCTGATGACCATTCAGCCTTCCCAAACCCACGAGACTGTACCCAGAAAGGCCAGGCCCTGCACTGCCATGCCTACAGCCTGGGGTTTCTACCCTGCGAGGCCACAGGGCCACCTGCCCGCCACCGCCCTCACCACCCTGCTCAGCCTCACACCCTCGGCTGACCCCTGGGGCTGGGAGCCTGGCAGGCAGGATGGGAGGGACAAGTGTCCCCTCCCTGCCTCCCTGAGGCAGCCGCAGGTGGCAGTGTGTGCTTTGGCTCATCCTACAGGACCACAGCAGTCAGCAACCCCAACCTTGTTGGCACCAGATGACAGTTTCCTGGAAGACAATTTTTCCTCAGGACCAGGATGAGTGCGTGGGGTCTGGGGCTAATTCCAGCCCCTTACATTTGTTGCACACTCTGTCATCATGACATTAGATTCTCATATGGTGTGCAAACCTAGGTGGCCCCAAAGGGCAACTCCCGCAGGGTGGGAACTCCACAGAATCAGAGGCCTGCTGATGGACAGTTCAACATGGGCACAGCTTATCTGGTGACGCGTGATGGGTGTGGCCACAAGTACCCACCTGTATCTCACCTAACAGGCTGGGTTTGTGGCCAGGGAGTGGGGAGCCCTGATCTAGATTTTATGCCAGTCACCTGCCTCCAAAGTCTGACCCACTCATCTTGAAGCTCTCACTTGGGAAGTTGGTTTCTTTTTTGTGGGGTTGGGGTGCTGAGAGGTGAACCAGGCCTGGAGCAGGCCAGGCATGCGCTCTACCCCTGGGCAGCATGCCCAAGCTTGAGTGGTTTCTAAGAGGGCCCAGTGGTGCTGCCTGCCGTCCCGAGCGTGGAAACCATCAGATGGGCACCTAGCTGGGCCAAGCTGCTCACCCGCTCTCCCCAGATAAGCTCGGGTTTAGAGGTTCTGCAAGCCAGCCATGGGGAAAAGAAGGTCAGCATAGTTCTTCTGCGGCTCAGCACTGTGGGTCTAGAAGTGCTCAAGTAAGGCCCTGAGCCCTTCTAAGGCCCGGGGTCCTCCCCAAGCTCCCACCCCCTTATCTTCCAAAAGGGCTGCAAGCAGGAAGAAGACATCTGGGATGCATCGGGCCCCTCTCCCTGGTTCGTAAGCACCACACCCCCACTCCCAGATTCCCCCACACTGCTCCTGCCTCAGGACAAACCCATGCCAGCCTGGCGGCTCACTCCCAGCCCGGGCTCACTTCTATGCTGGACAGAAAGCTCCCCAAGTGGTCCCTGAGCAGGCGGCCGCCTCCCACCTTAGGTGGGAGGTCACTATCCCTTGGCCCTGCACCCTTTCCCAGGATGCCGTGGGACTCCAGGAAATCTGATCTGCACAAATTGGGGTCCTTGGCCCCACCTTGGTACAAGCCCATGCCAACCTCACCATCATTCTACTCCATTCCAGGGTCACCAGGGCCCTGCCCTACCTCTTAGCGCACAGGCTTGGCTGTGACAGCGTCCCCAGAAGCCTGGCTGGAGGAGAGATGCCCAAGAGGTCACAGGAGGGACACTGTCTGGGCTGATTCCCCACACCTGCACAGCCTGGCTTCTCCCCCTGCCCTGGGAGAACAGAGGCCCAAAGCCTGGGGACGCTGCTCCTTCACAGGTGGCATGGAGAGGACATGAGCTACTTAGCCTCCTAGGCAACCTTCTACTCTTGTTCTCTTGCCTTGGCCGCGAGACCCCGGGGCAGGCGAGTGTGTGCTTTGCTGCCACTCCCGCTGCAGAGCGGGCACTTGGGCCCAACACAGCTTTCCCAGGAAACCACCTTTCTCCTGCCACTTCTTTCCTGGAAGACTCCGGGTGGCAGAGGGCACTCCTGTCCCACAGCTCTGTCCCGTGTGTGTGCCTGGGGTTCCACAGCTGATCCTGTCCGGAAGCCTGAGAAGCCCTACCAGGCCCAGCACGTGGGACAGCCTGGCCGGGTCCTCCAGTGACTCAGCAATCTCAAGCTGCTGAGTCAGAAGTACAGGGCTCACATGTCAGAAACCTGCTGACACTGGGGACCAGAGGAGGAAGAAGGCTGCAGCCCGCCTGAGCACTCAGCATGGGGCCGTGTGGGGGCCCACTCAGCACGGGGCTGCGTGGCCAGGGCCTGCAACCCTCCCCCACCTATGGTTGCCCAAGATCACACCAGGGCCTGTCCCAGAAGGCAGTGAGTCCTGGGGAGCTGGGGAGCTGGGGAGGAGGCATGCCCTGAGAGCTGAGCCATGAGCACAGTGCATCAGAATGCCCCAGGTGCGGGGCGAGCGGGAGAGGCCGATCCAGACACAGCTCCTTCCCTGTGAGGAAACCGAGGCCCGGGAGGCACTGCGGTCTTCACCAGGCCGGGCCCTGAACGCACGCAGCTCTGACCCAGAGGTGGCCTGGCCCCTGCTCTCCCCACCCGTTCATCCCAGGCCCCAGCCACGCAGCCACCAGTGCAAGCTGTGCCTTCCAAAACTTCAGGGTGGGAGTGCAGGCTGTGCAGACGGGGATGCCCAAGGAGGCCCTGCAGCCCGCTGGGGTGGCACAAGGCCATCCCATCCAGGGAACCCATCCTCTCCTTCTTAGTGATCCAGTGCCTAGCTTGGCATGGTTTAGGCTGGTGCTGTCCATGCCCCTCTTACAAGCTCAGTGGCAATGAGTGAATTAGTTACTTTTAGTTATCTCATTTAAAGATATCTGGAGGATTTTGTAACAGAATAAAGTCATCATATAAAAAACCTTTACCCTTATATAAACGTTTTCCAAAGTCCTTCCTTACACATGCTATTTCATGTGGCAGTTGTCACCCTTCACAAATAATTTATGTACTCTAATTCTTGGTTTTCTTATCTGTAAAATGGGTACAACAATGCCTGCTTCAAAAGGCTGAGGTAAGGGCTGGTGAGATGGCTCAGTGGTCTAAAGCACCAACTTAGAACAAGCTTAAAGCACAGGGACCGCGGTTCAATCCCCAGCACCACATGCCAGCCAGCCCGCCCCCTGGTGGGCTGAGCTGGCCCCCCACGCACACACACGCACACACACACACATACAAATTTAAAAAAAGTAAAAAAAAAAAAAAACAAAAAAACAAAAGGCTGAGGTAAGGATCTGATGATACAATAGAAGCCAAATGCTTAACACAGCGCCTGACATGAGGGAAGCATTAAAGCAGGAATACCACTTGTCCTTTTCATACCAACTGCATGGCACAGAGAGATTAAACCTCTAGTTCAAAGTTGCATGCCAGATGCAAAGCAAGCCTGAGCCCTGGGCATGCACCACCAAGTTCCCTGAGCACCTTCTATGCCCCCAGTACAGAAAGAGGAGTGCATTGGGGTTTGGCAGAGCTGGCGGGGGGAGCCACACAGCCTGGTGGGTGCAGGGACATCAAGCCAGTAGGAAAGAGGCGTGTCTTTGCGTCAGACCCCTGTGTGGTCCAGGGTCCCCTGTGGGCTCGGGGGCTGTGGGATTCACCCTGCTGGAGGCTGTGAGATCCCGGGACTCCAGACCTCCTCCACACCCACTGATTCAGGGGGGTGTGGGCAGGGGAGGACAGGCTCCCTGGCATACAGAGGAGGTGCGGGGCACAGGGATTGGGGATCTGAGTGTGGGAGCAGCACAGCACCCAGAAGCCCAGGAACCCTGACCTTAAGAGCCCTGAGACCAGGAACTCTGGGCCTAGGATCCCAGGAACCTGGAGCCCAGAAGCTCAGGAGCCCCAAGCCCAGGAACCTGGAGCCTAGGAGCCCAGGAGCCCAGGAGCCCAGGATCCCAGGAACCTACAGCCCAGAAGCTCAGGAGCCCCAAGCCCAGGAACCCCGAGCCTAGGAGCCCAGGAGCCCAGGAACCTAGAGCCCAGAAGCTCAGGAGCCCCAAGCCCAGGAACCCGGAGCCTAGGAGCCTAGGAGCCCAGGAGCCCAGGAGCCCAGGAGCCCAGGAGCCCAGGA